GGACATCCATTAAAAAGAGATGGCTACCATTCGTGAAAGTCAAACTCTTTTTATGATTTCAAAATCATTCTTATTTCATGGGTTAGTTGTCCATCTATCCTTGTTTAAAAATAAATGAGGATAATTTTATCTATCTATTTTTATGTTTCAGTACAAATCTAATGCTTCAGAATGTTTCAGTGCAAATCAATTTTAAGCAATGTCTTCTGTCAAGTTTTTATTTTTTCTTAAAGATTTCAAAATTTCTATGAAGGACCCATGTACATTCCTTCATGTAAAGGAAATCATCATCAAGGGATTCAAAGGGACCTACAGGTTTCTGCTTGAACCACTTTGTCTTTAAACACAGTATATTGCATCCTAAAGCTATTCAGGAAATAAAAACATTCTTATATATGATCAAGACCTCTTTTGATTGTATTCGGGGCCTCCATAAGAATGCTATTTTATATACTTTAGCAAAGGCAAATGAACCTCAACTATCTATGAATTAATTATAATTAGTGCCTGATTTAATGTTTTTCTTTTGCTGTTCCTTTTATATGTATCCCTCTGAAACAAACATTATTCTAGGCTGTAATACACAATTATTAGTTCAAGTTGAAGTGATTCTGTATAAAATTGGCCTCATATTTATTCATTCAAAAAATGAGCAGGGAGAGAGTGAATATTTTATAAAACTCCAGTAATGTATCTATCAAAAAACCCTTAAGCAAACTAAAATTTGACCCTTTCAAAATTGCTTAATGAGTTGGTATTACACGGGGTATCTTTTCAAACTTCTGTCCATTTTTTTTCCCTTTTATTGAAGGCTTTGAGCAGAAGCTTTAGATCACAGATTCTGCATTTGAGAGTTGAAAATATGATTTTGTTTTGATTGTGATTTGATTGGTGTATCTCTATGCACAAACCAATATATATGCACCAAACCCAGTGCAATAGAAAGCACATATTCTGACCAAAATTATGCCAGTATTTAACAGATTATTGTGGAAACCTCTGTGTGGGAGAGAAGATGATTTAAATTAATTGAAATGTTATCCTAAAGCATGAACATTTCAAAGATTCCACATGGGGAGAAAAGGAGATTTTTTTTTGGTCAGAAGTGGTTTGGGAGGGAATAAAGCACATTATAAAAAAAATAGATATTATTCTAAGCGTACCATGTTGTTATGTGTGATATTGGTCAGAGCCACCAGCTACTGTGCTTTGTTAATTAACCTCTAACATATACTTGATAATTCTGTAATCTCTTTGCCACAACCTTACGGTCCCTAGGGAGGCTTTAGGGATCTCCGGATGTTTTGAAATATTTTCTTGGGTTCTCTCCTCTTCAGATCCAACTTGGCTAGCTTGGGGATATCAATGAATTTCAAATAGCATTTGTGATGAGGCCTCTCTCTTACTCCACTGTACAAATTTGCCATTAAAAGCAAATAAAATATGATCTCACCCACTCCCAGCACCACAGAGTGGCCTAACAACCCCCTCATGATAATAGAAGCAAGATGCATTATGACCGTATTAAGGACTTCTTTACACAAAGCAGTGTTATGTTTTAGGTTATTCACATTTAATAGCTTTGCTCTTTATGTGACTTTTGATGTGTCTTTCTGATGCATATGACTAAATGGCAGGATTTCAGGGCATGGCTTGCATCTCACACTGTAATGCACCTTTTCCTCTGTGTCTGACACGGGTCCTTAAACAGCCTGAGTGCCCAACAGTAACTGTGCACATGTGAATACAAAGACCAGATTTCCTTGTTAACTACTGTCCTCTAGGGAAGGACTGTCCAATAGAAGTATAATGCAAACCCCATATGTTATTTTTAGTGTTCCAATAGGCGCAGTAAAAGTAATTTAAAGAAGCTGGTGAAATTATGTTAGTATATTTTATTTAACTCAAAATATTCAGTGCTATCTTTTAAATGTGTAGCCAATAGAAAAATTTATTGAGTTAGTTTACATTTTTATACTAAATCTGTGAAGTCACATGTGTTTTCCATTTACATGTCATCCCAGACTGACCACATTTTAATAAATAGCCATAAGTGGCTGTTGGACAGCATAGATCTAAAGCTTGATGTAATATCTGAGATATAATCTATTATGTATTTGTCAAATGATTGAGTGAATGGTACTAATTGACTGGTTCTAGTATATCCAGATCAATTAATAATTTACTACCTTATAAAATTATTTCATTGTAGGTCTAAATTCCTCATTATCAAATTTCCTTATTGAGAATAGGGAGATCTTCTATTTGGATTAGATAATTCATTTTTTGAATAAGGCTACAGTTTCTAAATATTTACATGAATTGTAGAGTGCAAACGGCTTGAGTATTCTGGATTTCATTCATTTGAACACATCATTTCATTTTCTTCTGCCGTGTAGAAGGAAATTCATATGCTCATATTTTTATGTCTATGAAATCATTATTTTTATTCATTAGAAAGAAGTCAATTAATTTGCATTTACTAATCTTCCATTCCTCACATTGTAATATCACTCTCTTCATATCTCAAGGGAAAATTGTTCATATTTCTTTTAAGCCTATAAACTTAATTTCCATTAAGGGAACTAGTAGTTTGAATGAAGATAACAACATCTTGCAAGTTTTACTCCTGTTGTCTGGCTTTTTATAGGTTTGTCTGTATCATTTCATTTTACAGCATTTGTGTAAAATAGGCAGTCTGGTATTTCTTTAATTTTTCTGATATGCTTAGTGGCGGAAAAGTCTATCTGAAAGATACAAATTGAGACATTCCTAAATTACTCCCCAAATGTCAACAATATTTAATTAATTTAAGTTGCTCATTTTATAATACTTTTAAAAAGAGTATTTAGATTTCTCAAATTTCCTATATACATTAAATGAAAAGTTAAAATATTTTGATTGAATCAACAGTGGACCCAGATTAACTACCATCAGTAACCTAGAAAATGCATTTCTATTAGAGAAAAGCACTTGTTATAATAAATAGATGGATGGCATAATTCTATTTATGCACAATATTTTTTTATATTCCATGTGTATTTATTTAAGGAAAGAAGTCTAGAAGAGTGCTCACTAACATGTAAACAGCTATTATCACTGTCTGATATGCTTTAGAATGGCTTTAAATGTCTTTGTTTTTATTTTACTGTACCTTCTTTTCTACAATTGTACTATTAAAGAATATTCAAAAGTAAATTTGAATATGATTTCATTGTAATTGCATAAATTCCCATATATAAAATCTAATAGAAACTTATATTTAGGAAAAAATATAAAGTTTGGGTTGGGTCAGTTGTATTATAATTTAATTAATAAGATGTTTAATTGCAATCTATAGGTATATTATCTAACATATCAATGTAGATGGAAATCTAATAAATAACAACATTTGGTAAATATATTGCCATACTTACAGGCAATATTTATTTCTAAATATTTGCTAAGTGAAATATACTGATCAAAAAGTCATTTCCATTTATCCATTGACAAATATACTCATGATGCATATAATAAAATATGGGGTAAATTTGATACTTCAGAAACCAGTATTTTATATAATTCTACTTCACTAATAAAAAAAATAATAGCTAGCATTTACTCTGTATAGTTAATAAATGAATTATCATTTTAATCTTTATAAAAACATATTAGTTAGATATTGCTATTATCCCTCTTTTACCCAGAAGGAGTCTGAGGGGCATAGGCCTTCTAAATTTGTCTTGGAATCCATGGCTGTTGTGTTTTTGTCATATGCTAAACACAAACAGTTTAACTGTAGAGCCTAGTGATTTAGTAATCATTGTGCTATATCAAATGTAATATGTACACTGACCATGCTTGTTTTTATTTTACATTCAGGCAATAGGCTTTCAAATTTATAATTAACATGATCTGAAATAACAAAACCAGTAACGTATCTCTTGCCTAAAATTAACAACTGTCTTATAGTTATTTTTGAAATAGATTTGTGATCTAGCTGAAACAAATATTTGACTCAAGTACAGGGTTACCTGCAGGTCCAAAGGTGGAGGTCAGTGAGGTGCCCAAGGCTGGACAGCTAGTCTATGGGAAGACGGACAGGCTCCATGTGTTTCTACCATTGAGGCTTACTTTTATGGTTTGGTACTATTACTAATTATAAAATTAATTTTTAGAGTCTACCCATTAGTGAATCTTCAAAATATTCTTGCAATTTTATTTAGTAATAAAATTGTTAAATTGTGGCTCTTATTAGCATTAAAAACTAATATTCAAGAGAGATTAAAGGATCAGAACTGCACAAGTGAGTAAACAGACTTGATTATAAGGACACCTAATTATTACAAGTTAGGATATAATTAAGTGCTAAAGTTGTGCGATATAAAGACAATAAAGGCTGCAGAGTTTCTAAGGAGGAAATCAAAGAACCATATTGCTTTGCTGGGCTCTGATTGCCAGGTTGAAAACCTGAAAAAAAATAAAACCAAACAAAATTGAAGCAAGTTGACACAAGGTCTTATCATTCTGTCTGGTCCTGTCAATTTGTCTTTTAAAGACACATAGTCTTGATCAGACAATTCTACTTCTGTCATTTCCTTATAATCAGATAATCAATGTACCAAGATAAAACAACAGAGCAAGAAAAGCAGAAACTGTGATGAATATTGTTGTATGCCTATGGTGTTCCAGAAACATTTTGTTTCCCTATTTCTCAATTTTAAGTCATAGTTTTGATCCTGCTTCCACTTTACAGATAAGTAGATTGAAGCTCAGAGGGTCTAAGGAACCTTGTATGAGCTTGTACTTGTTAGCGATAGACAGTTCAAACATGTCAGTCGTGGTTTAAATTTTATACCGTCCCCTTCTCTGTGGCAAGCCCTCTTCCTATCTGGAATTTCAGGAAGCTAACACCTATTATTTATTCCATACAACCAGGAGCCTTTGTGGAGGGTCAGAAGGCTTTTCAGACCGGTTAGGAGAGATAGAGCCATCAGTATGAAAATACCACTTGCCTTTGGGAGAAGGGTAATCAGGAGTGTGGTACCCAACTGTGGCTGCATCGGAGCACTGGAGATGGGGTCAGCCAGACTAGCCCTTCTCCTGCTCTCCAGGCTGCCTGGGAAATGCTGATTGGTGGTGGTGGTGGCGGCAGGGTGCTCCTTTTGACATATAGAGATCTGGAATGAGAATGACTAAAACAGAGCTGGGAAGTTAAAACCATTGGTTTTCAACAGTTGCTTCTCTCTGTTTGTGGATCTCTTTTCATGTTTGGGTTATTTGTGAGATCCCTTTGCAAACAAGAAATCTCCCTGCACCTTCGCCAGTGCCCCAATTCCACTGCCAGGAGAGAAGGGAACCTAAATGTACAGCGAATGTCTTCTGCGAATTCAGTTGATTTGTGGACTTTTTTTTTTTTTAAGGGGCAGGAGTATGTGTGTGAATTTTAAAAAATATTTCCTAATTGTTAGGAAATGAGCACAAAATCTCCCTTGATGATTTTGAACCTGTGGCCTTGGCGTGGTGACAACAACTATGACAACGATCACAGCTGACAAGCATGGTAGTGACACCGTGTGAAAGGCACTGAACTAAGTGCTTTGGTGGATTTTTATCTTTAATCATCACAACATTTCTATGAAATAAGTGCTGTTGAACCTTAATTTTTAGTTAAGGAAAGCTTAGCTTATTTGTCCAAAGCAAATTGTGTTGGAGTCAGGGGACTTTTGTCTTCTGTTTGCCTGTGGTGCCAACTAGCAAGTATTTGATTGCAAAAACTGGCAAAATAATGCTTAAATTGTATGGATGAGCAAATGGTACATTTTAAGATGGAACAAATCATTTGTAAATGTGAAGAGCAGCCTTAAAAGCTGTATATTCCTAGAAAGATGCATTTAAACTGTTCTCCCATTCTAATACTATGCATTTCAGTGTTTATATTATAAGCAGCATCACATTTGAAGGATAACAAATCAGTACGCTATTATATCTTAATGAGAATGGTGTGCTGTAGTCAAAATACATGAACTAACTAGTATGTTTTATACCATATTTTACATTCTTCTGTTGAAAGATATTTGAAAGGGTAAGGTGTGCAATTAAACAAATTTAGCTCTCGATTCCAACCTGCCTATATTTTGAAGATATATGGTGTTTATTTGCATTTTTATTCTTTTTTTGTTTTATGTGCTCATTTAAATCTTATCTGTTTTCTTTCTTTCTTTTTTTTTTTTTTTAGCAGTTACATCCAGCTGTTTATTGCCTAAGCATTCTGGGGCTTGCTTCATCACTTGGCTTTGCTGTGGAGCACTCCTGTAGAGCTTACTGAATTGCATATTGAAGATCCACCATTTTGGTGAGTGGAATCATAGCTACAATTTTGTGTTTTGCTCTGCTCAAGTTGTGTTTGCATTGTTGACCAAAGTGCTTTCATATAGAGCGCAAAATAGGGCTTTTCCAGTTCTGTGTAAGAAAGCTGGCTTTTTTTTATATATATATATACTTTTTTTCTTTTTCCGTTATGGACAAAAGTAATTTGTACTGTCATTTTCTCTCTCTGAAATCTGCAATTCTCTCTCCCTCCCAACCCAAGAGAATGACTTTACCATTCTTCAGTCATGCATCTGTTTCTTATCTACCTGAATGGACCTCTCCCCAGCTCTCAAATTCTCATTCCCTGACCTCTAAGAATAATTTGGCCATCACATTTTTGGTATTCGCTATGTACACTTGGAAATAAAAGTTGGTGGTTGTGATTAGCTGGCCCACATAGCATCACATTCTCATGTATAAAGACCTTTTGGATGGAAAAACTTGGCCCCCTTTGTCAGAACTGTTTAATATTGTTAATCTGTGTGGGCAGAAAGAGAGAAGGGAGCTGGAAAATCTTTCTTCTGCTTTTATTGTCCCTGAACTGACATTCTCAATATATTTCTACAGCATCCAGCATCATATATCAAATGTCTTCCTCAGGCTTTCTCGGGGTTTCCTACATCCATTTTTCTATAACATTTTGCTGTTTTCAGTCTTGCTTTTATATTTTCACAAGTTAAATCCTTGTACCAAGATGGCTTACCTTTGGGCGGGACAATTAAAGGGTTCTCGGAACAATCAATACATTGTGCAATTCTGATTTGGAGATGGGGCATCTGACTTAGCTAAAGCATCAGTTTGCAGATTAATTTCAGTGATTTGAGTATGTATAGAAACTTTGTGTTTAAGAACAAGGTGTGAGAGGAGGTCCAGTAGAGACTCATAAATGATTTGATGGGTAAGAGGTATCTGGATTAAATCCTTTTTTGTTTTTCTTTATTGCCTGTAGAAATTTTTCAGTGAAAATGAGGCAGTGAGTAAAGAATAGGTCTTATGTGGCTAAGGGAGTGGGTATGGGAATAAGGGAGGGTAATGATGGGTATGTCCTCTTGAAGGAGTCATTTGAAATACAGCCATCAGACAGCCTTAGTTCAAACAGTCAATTTAGAACATACTTATGGACCAGATAACATAAAACACCTAAATGGAAATCTCATGAGGCTGTAGTAACAATTAAAGTAGATGATACAATAAGGTACTTACCCTGGTAGTTGAACAACATATTCAGGGGTAAATGAGTGTCATCAGCAGTTCTAACTCCATTTTGCTGGCAAAGAAACTAAAGCCCAAGCAGCCGGCTTGAAATAGACCTTTATGCTACTGTAGGTTTTCCATGTTTTCTCGCCATCTTCATATGTTTTCTTGGGCGTGTAGTCTGATGGGGAGAATCTTCTGTTAGAATATTAAGGGTTTCTTTTTGGATTTTATTGTGCTTCGATTCTGAGAAAGGCATCCAATTTAATAAATTTCAGCACACCTTAAGCTTCTCTGAAGCATCCTTGTTCCTAGTGTCTTTGGAGGTCAGATCCAAACTGGGTTGTACAAGGAAACTTGATTTTGTTAGAATATAACTCTGATTTCACGGTTGCTTCCCCACAGATCAGATACCATCCTATCCCAGAATCATCTCCTGATTCCATTTTCTATCGTGGAAGCTTGGGTCCATCTTTGTTTCTGTTCTTAAGGAAAAATCACCAAGTGGTAGAAATCCATTATAAATGCAGAGTTGTCTGTTTTGGAAGAAATAGGAGGGCTTGTGGTGACATAGACCTAAGACTCTGGTATATCCTATGCCAGCTCATCCACCCTCTCCTAGAACAAGTAATGGATGAGGACACTGCAGAGTTAGAGTGGGTCAGTTTGGTGGGACAGGACCTGGGAGGATGAAGCCTGTGTTTAGGATTCTTAGAGAATCTTCCTAACCTCGTTCAAGCCAACAGTTGTCCCCTGTTTCTCTCTTGCTCACCCTCCCAACCTTATCATCTAAACTTTTGATTAAGATTTCTGGAGACAGTGGATCTTTGGTACATCATGTTCAGGGAAGCAGGCAGAGGATAATGAGAAGTAGTCTGTAAATGGGGGAAGAAGGAGAAATGCCCGCATGGTCTTAGTAACTCCCTTGATAATGAAAGCAAGTCTCCAAATCTCAGTGGTCTGCCTAGTGTGCTGACCTGAAATACCATTACATTTTTCTCAATGTTCTCATTTGATTTTGCCATTATTTAGTTAGGGTAGTACTTTGATAATTGACTACTGCAACCAAAAAATGTCTTTAATTTTGACTGAATAGTCAGCCCCTCAATGAGGCCAGACTATTAACTTTGAGAAAAAGTTCTTCACGGTAATTCTCTAGCATCATATTTTATATTCTATTAAACCTGTTCTCAAGTACTAATACCTACCTACTTGGAAAAGGACTCTACAAGGCTCTGCCCTCTGCTGTTCCTTCAGGGTCGTTTGTAGCCCTAATAGAATGGGTGAGAGTAGATTTCCCAGGCAACAGGAGGCTTTATAAATACAAGCTGGTGTTTCCCCAGGTGTTCACTTTCCTCCTAGACCACCAATGTTTTTTTTCCCCCCTCTGGCTTCTACCTGAAGTTTTAAATGCTACTCTTTTTGCTCCTAAGAAGCAGTATAAAATATTCAGCTTTACTGGCCAGGTTTCTGCCATAAAGGTTTCCGTGTGGCTACTTTTGCTTCACTGGTAGTATATAACATGGTTTTTACTCCATGGTGGATTCATAAAAAGCATGGGATTTAAATGAAGGTTCTCATAGTTCTAGGATAGTCATATCTCCTTTCAACCAGACTAGGATGAAATGCAAGATGTGATTTTATCATCACTAAAAATATGACTTTTGGCTATTTTTCACCTAAAAAAAAAAAGAAAGAAAGAAAATGGAAGAGGAAGCAACTTTAAAATTATAGAAAAAAAACTGTGATACTTTGAAAGATTGCCTTAGATAAGGGCTAAACAGAACCAATGTTTCTCGATTTCTGATGTTATTGGAATGAAAAGCTACTTTAGGTAGAAATTTTGGGAAAATCAACAGACCTATGTGAAGGCTGTGTTTTCAGCTACACATCCTGCAGTGGGTGATGTGTGGATTTAATTCCCCATCAGTAGAAGGGAAGTGACATTTTCCACTTTCTTTCCCATTTAAATAGTTTATAATAATCAGTATGTACTGAATATATAAGTGACCAAATCTCTTTAAAAATTAAGATTAGCACATTTTTCTCTCTAGTTTCAGATAGACTTCTATGCAAGAACTGAAATTATTAGCACCATTTTGAAAATATTACACTGAGCTCTTTTTTTCCCTTTTCCTTTTCCTTTCTTGCCAGCAGAAAAACACCCTTTAATACTCAACATCTAACCTTTAAGATAAGTGCATTTTGAGACTTTTTCCCCCTACATTACATGCTTGAGTTGCTTCTTAACATTGTGAGATTTACAACAGGTTTTCCTTAAATATTTCACATTCTCTCACATACAGTCATGCAATATTACATATTTCACAAAATATTTTCTTGAAAATTTAAGAATAACATAGAACTTATATAACCAGAACTAATATATAATATTTATGGTGTTTTAATATAGTAATTATGAATAGATAAAAAGTAGAAAGGAAGTTATTAAATGCATAACGTGTACCATATTTAAAAGTGTTTTCTCTTTAACATAAATTCTTTTATTGAACATGAAAACAAAATCTTAATTAATCCTAAAATCTGAGGTCCCCAGAGGTTAAATATTTTACTTAAGGGAACCAAGTTTTGGGGTCTAATCCATTAGTCCAGACACCAATCCACTAACTGAACATTTTTTGACCAGAATATGGGATTATTCTAGAGAAAACCAAGTTTTACTGTAAAGAATATGATCTGATAAGCTATGATCTAGTTAATTAATTGTATAGCTTTCTAAATTATGGATTATTTTGTTTGAATTCCTGCTCTTGTCACTTAATTTTTAATGCTGAAATGGAACTAGTGTACTTAGCACTTTTGCCAGCTGTCACTGGGTGCAGATTTCAGTTTTCAGTCCATGAATATATCAGTATGTATCAAAGAGATGTTTATAACAGGAACCAAGAAAATTTTAAAATGCTATTTAAACTTTTTTTTTTTTTAAACTTTTAAGTAACTCATTTGGTACACTAAGATGAAATACCTTTGAATAACTTTGCTTTCTATTACAAAACAGTTTTAAAGAGAAGAAAATTATTCTATAGATGTTTATTATATCATTGGAACTATGTAAAACAAGTTAAACAAATAGAACAGGATTTGGGTAAAACCAAGCATTTTAATAGATGTTGAAGAAATAAAGGAAAATAAATGAATCCAATTTAATTGAAAAACTAAAACATAACTTTATGTTGTTAAAGGTTTAGTTTAATATTAATTAAATACCATCATGACAGTGAAAGAGGAGAGTGAAAAAGTTGGCTTAAAGCTCAACATTGAGAAAACTAAGATCATGGCATCTGGTCCCATCACTTCATGGGAAATAGATGGGGAGACAGTGGAAACAGTGTCAGACTTTATTTTTTTAGACTGAGTGACTGAACTGACTGAACTGAACTGAAATACCATCATATACATATAAGTTGTAAATAAGTCAAAAGATTATAGTTAAGGTCTTTAAATGGTTATTTGTGTGTGTGTGTGTGTTGTTCATGTGTATCATACCCAGGTCCACAGAAAATAGGTAACAAAAGTAGGCATCTTAATAAGGAATGTACGAATATAGGGTCATAGTCATACAAAGAATTAAGTATCAATAGCAGAGGGAAAATAAATAAATACATTTGATTCTCCTTATTTGTGGTAGTCATGTTCTATAAAATTGTTCTATATAAAACACTGAATTAGTAAATGCTAAACCACTGCTCCTAGGGGGAATAAAGTATTAAGTCAGTGCAACCCTGTGGTTGCAACATTTTTATCAACCAATCAACAGATCAATATATAAACTTGTTTTATGTGTGTTTCTGTTTAAAGACTTCTTACTTAATATATATCGTTGGTTGTTAACAGGGAACTCACAGACGACAGCACCATAACTCTCCCCTGAACAAAGCTTATCTCGCGCATGTATTTTCTCTATAAGGCACTTCACAGCCTTTTTGTACTTAAAATCACTAGATAATGCTATACTGCAATGCTTAGAAGTCATTTAAAATAGCAGAATCACCAACAAAATGCACAAAAATGTCAACATGTAGCACTAAGGAGCCGACGGAAAAGACCTTTTGAGCACCGACACCACAAGGCATTTGCCTTGTTCCGTTTTAGCTGGGAACGTGGACATCAGGTGATCCATGGTTTTTACTGCTCTGTGCCAGGAGTCTTGATTTTCGAGTGGCAAATGTCTTTAGTTTCTCTATAAAAAGAAGCCAAAAGGGGATAACCCAATATTCAATAATTAATGTTTCAGTATTTTGTTTTATTTGGAAACGATCTGGATATTTGATGAATAGTCATCATTTATTTGCCTTCTCTCAGAACAGACAGTTCTTGACTTATGGTGGTTTAAGAGTTTTCAACTTTATGACAGTGCAAAAGAGATTCACTTTCAGAAGAAACCATATGTCGAATTTTGAATTTTGATCTTTTGTTCAGGCTAGCATATGTGGTACTATACTTTCTCATGTTGCTGAGCCATAGCAGTGAACCATAGCCCCAGTCCCCAGTTAGCCATGCAGTCGTGAGGGTCAACAGCCAATACGCCCACAACCATTTTGTACCCACACAACTGTTTATTTTTCACTTTCAGTATGCTATTCAATAAATTACATGAGATATTCAACTCTTTATTATAAAATAAGCTTTGTGTTAGATGATTTCACCCACTTACAGACAAGTGTTCTGAACACATTTAAGATAGGCTAAGCTAAACTATGTTGTTTGGAAGGTTAGGGTATTAAATGCATTTTTAATTCATATTTTCAACTTTCAATGGGTTTGTTGGAACATTGCCCCATCTTAAGACAGGGAGATCTGTATAGCATTAAGATTTCAAGTGACCAAAAATATTCTGGAAACTTTTATAAGTTGACATGCCATACAGCACAATTATTGTTGAAAGTTAATTTATAAACTTTTATCTTACTTACATCCACTTAATTTACTTATTCTTAGCAATTATGTTCAGATTACTCATGAAAATTTCATGAGGTATTCGACAGCGACCATCATCTTATCTTTCTGCTAATAAATTCTATAACGGAAATAACATAATCTTATTTGAATGTTAGTAAATCAAGGTAAATAAAAGTAGTATGTTTAATGTTGATCACACTAAAAACATGCCTGTTTCAAACAAACCAACAAACTTAAACTAGCTTTCATTACTGATGATTATCCTAGATCATATAAACTTGAAAAACATTTTAGTTAGAGTCTATTTCTCAGAGTATACTTGATTTTATAAACAATTATTTGTCTTTGAGACATTAAATAGAAATATTTACAAATTAAGTTTGGCAATATCATCTGAAGGTAGAAAAATATCACAGATCCATAAAATATATGTGCTAAGTCTCTTCAGTCATTTCTGACTGTTTGTGACCCTATGGACTGTAGCCTGCCAGGCTCTTCTCTCCATGGGATTCTCCAGGCAAGAATACTTGAGTGGGTTGCCATGACCTGCTCCAGGGGATCTTTCTGACCCAGGGATTGAATTTGTCATCTCTTCTGTCTCCTTCACTGGCAGGTGGGTTCCTTACCACTAGAACCACCTGAGAAGCCCATAACATACATATGTGGATGCATATAAACTTACAAAATCACAGATCTTACAGCTTTTGTTTTAAAATTTTAGCCATGAGACAGTTAAACTAATGCAAAACTTATTACTTATAAAAGAACAGTTGAATCCAAATTATGCTTGTGGCATGTAGGGTAAGTTATCTACTCAGGTGGCTTTGGCTTTTACCAATATTTATGGGAAAGACTTTTTAAGAATTTCCTCATTGGAAAACTCCCTGATGCTGGGAAAGAATGAGAGCAGAGGAGAAGAAGGCATCAAAGGACGAAGTGGTAACATCACTGATGGCAATGGACATGAATTTGGGCAAACTTTGGGAGATGGTGAGGGACAGGGAGGTCTGGCATGATACAGTCTGTGGGGTCACAAAGAGTCAGAAGATTGACTGGGTGACTAAACAACAACAATTTCCAAATGGCGTCTTCCTTTTTTTTTTTTTTTTTTGCTGATAAGAATTACCTTCTTGAAGTTTGCATTTCAAGAGATGGCTCTGGGTTCCTAGAGAAGACCAGGCAGAACATTTACGTCTCAAAGGCACAGAGAAAGGTTTCATGTTTCTGAGAAAAGGGATTTTGTTTCCTAAATCCAGGTTTTTAACAATATCTGTAAACCTTCCAGAAGAATGGGGGAGGTTTGGGGATTGGTAAAAAGGATCACTGGGCTTTGAATCTTTTCTATAGTCACATTTCTATTCTAAGAAGAGTAGATTTATAAGACAAATACAAATAAAACTTTTTAATTTCTCATAGAGTTGGATTGTAACCTGGATGGTATCCAGAAACTGACCTAGCCATCCAACAATGTTATCCTCAGTTCACTTCTTTATATCATGAAGAAGATCCTCAACTAAGATGAATGTCAAAAGATTCCTATGTTCTAGATTTAAAACTAGGTGTCTTTGGAATGTTTGAGCAAATTCTTCCACAATGGTTTTAGAATGCTTTTCTTTCCCTGTGGATACATTGTTTCATTTTAGCTTTGGGAAGAAGGCCCAAAAGGAAAGTTCCTATATGGCTCTGAATATCAATTTCCAATTTAGCTAACTTCTGACCATTAGGCCACTTACCAAAAAAACAAAAATCCTTCTTAATATCTTATCAGGTTTCAGCCAGGACAAACAGTAAATGTGCCTGGCAGTACTGACCAACCCTCTAGGTGACTCTAGTAGTAAAGAACCCTCGGGTCAATGCAGGAGACACAAGAGATGGAGGTTCAACCCTTGGGCCAAGATGCCCTGAGAAGGAAATGGCAAACCACTCCAGTACTTTTGCCTGGGAAATCCCTTGGACAAAGAAGCCTGGCAGACTATATAGTCCATGGAGTCACAGGAATCAGACACAACTGAACATGTACACACACATGAACACAAGAGGAGTCCCCAAAGAAGATGCCAAGATCCAGAGTTACTCTAGAAGATGGCTATTAGGAAGAGAACCTCAGATAATTCCCCTGAGAGCTGGCAACATTCAGTAGAACCCTAGCCACAGACGGAGTGCAGCCCACATTTCTCTCTGGCCATATTTGAGGGGCTCCTGAACTGCCCATTGCCAAGTCAAGTTCTCTGGACACAAAATGAAACTAATAAAAACCAATAGGTATCCTTAGAACAGATGGGATCAATAATCAATGTGGTTTTTTATTTTGTTGTTGTTGTTTGTTTTTTTTTTTTTTATTTTTTCCTGATAACCTAATCTTGGAAAGGAAGGAAATACATGAAATTTTACCTTCCTGTCTTGACCAGACACCCAAGACAGAGGTCAGGGAGAGCTGACTTTGGAAAGAATTCTCACCCTTTGCCAGCTTCTTCTTGTCAGCTTCCCCAGAAGCCCATCTATGTTCTAGAATGAGTGTGGTGTCCCAGCAGGTCTTATCCTGGTCATCAGAAACTATATAGGAGGGAATAATAATTTTCCCTCTACCCCTTTAGTGATGTCTGCCCAAGACCCCTTTTCCTCTTGGGTGCCTCATAAGTAGATAAGCTTAGCAAAAATGGTTGAAGGTTTGCTGTTGTCGTCACTGTTTTTCAAGAGTATCTTTGGTAAATTAACCTGCTTGTTCAGCCTTAAAACAAAATTTTATTGAGGTGTAGTCAGTTAACAGTGTTGTGATAGTTTCAAGTGAACAGCAAAGGGACTCAGTCATACATACACGTATACCCATTCTCCCCCAACCCCAATGCAAAATAAGAAGTTTAAAGAAAACAAAATTTTATTCACCAGAAGCCTCACCCTGAACCCAGTCTGACTTTAGCCAGACCCAGTCTGGTTTTTAAGTCAGACTCAGATCAGCTCCCTCAGTTCTGAACCCCGTGTGGAAAAGGAATTGCTCAGATAAAGCCTGAAAGCTCATAGTGCAAAAGCAGCCAGAAGTCAATAAACAGGAGGAGAAAGAGGAAGAAGAGGGTGGTATTTGAACCCTTCTGTCACATGTCAACTATTTAACCTTGAGAAGGTTAATATCTAAGGTATAATATCGAAGTCTCACTTTCTTCATTTGTAAAGTGAGATGACATCAACTCCTGGATAAGGTTGGGGTAAATGTTCTGAAGTGGCTGTAGTGAACGTCTAGCACTGTAGTTGGTATGTAATAGGCCCTCAATAAGCAGCCCTTGTTATTATTCTACAGTGAGCTTATCAAAACCCAGCCATTATTCACAGCTCATCCTGTGCCATCCGCTCTCTGGTGCTTTCCTTACACGTCTGCCGATGATGATAACAACAGTGATAACCCTTTCCTCTGAATTTCATATCACTTCTTTCATTCTTTTGAAGCACTAACACATACTTCTGATGTAACTGAACCTTTTAGAAAGCAAAAAAAAAAAAAGAAGACAAACTTCTTTTTACCACATTTAACATACTATACTCTCTTAGGATACACACACAAAACATTTAGTGAATTCACTTTTTCAATTAAAAGGACTTCTCTGGTGATCCAGTAGATAAGACCTCACCCTCTAGAGCAGAGGGTACGGGTTCAATCCTTGGTTGGGGAGCTAAGATCCAGGTGACTTGTGGCCAAAAAGCCAAAACATAAAGCAGAAGCAATATTGTAACAAATACAATAAAAACTTTAAAAAGGGCCTACATTATAATAATAATAATTAAAAAAGCACAACAACTTAAAGGACAGGAATTATATGAAATGAGAAAAGTCATGTCAGCAGAAACTAAGAAGGTGAATTCCAATCTAAGTAATGGTAGAAAAATATAGTTTAATTGTCACCTCTGCAGTCCATGGGGTTGCAAAGAGTCAAACACAACTGAGCAACTGAACTGAAAGTTCCTGTTTCTTCTGCAGAGTGACATCAAAGTGGCTTGCCCAGGGTTGCCAAGTAAATGATGAGGGCAGACACAAGGTCTATCTGACTTAGAGCTGAAATTTGATCAGTAACTGCCCTTCAACTTGACAAGCCTATGAGCTTGAGCATGTTACTAAACTCTTTAGGGCTGCAGGTTTTCATGTGTAAAAGTGTTTCCCTCGTGAGCTATTAGGAAGGGTCAGTTAGTTATTCTGTATAAAGGTGTTCAAAACAGAGCTGGGCTGGTAGGAACAACTTTAATTTTTGTTGTTTTTTATTTTAATTATTGTTATTACTATCATTAATAGTGGCAACAGCATAATTATTTTATTATAACATTATTATTAATGCCAAAAAAGCAAAATGAGCATCACTGGTGGTACGGGACATTTAAATGATTACTGAGACAGTGAAGCAGGGAAGCACACAATGAGGAAGTTATTCCCATTTCAAATTGCTCTGATATATCCATTACTTCAGGAAGAGCATTTCAGTTTATATCTACTACGATTTTAACAATTCTCTTAAACTTTTTCTTGTCTCTATTTTAGGAAAAAAGATGACAGGCTCATATTCAGTGTTTTCATAGCTAATTATATCTAGTTTGAAATTAGGAGTGTTTTAAAAATTAAATTTATTTTTACACCTACCTTCTATTCATAGGAAATAATTCTGGTTTTATGTTTAAGTCTATTATTATTAACTTTTAAAATGTGTATTTAAAAAACAAAAAATCATAAGTACTTATTCAACATAAGTAAAAATGGTAAGAAATAATGCCTGTGGTATGAGAGGGTAGTCAATGGGAAGGTAGTGATGGAAATATGGTTGCGAAATATTGCAGTATAAGAAGCTGGCAAAGGACTTCCTTGGTGGTCCAGTGGTGAAGACTCCATGTTCCCAATTCAGGGGACCTGAGTTTGATCCTTGGTCAGGGAACTAGATCCCACATGCCACAACTAAAGCTCCATGCTGCAACTGAGACCCAGCACAGCCAAATAAATAAATTTTAAAAATTAAAAAAGAAGCTGTCAAAAAAGCAAAAGCAAAAAAAAATGGAATGAGCAAACTCCACAGTGGTACCACTATGACCAGAACAGAAGGTTTATGGAGAGAATTCATGGAATATAAGGTTGAGGAAGCATTCCGTTTTCTCATTTCACCGTGAAGTGATAAACTGTGGGTCAGGAAGGCGCACTGGTCTGTAGACAGTTATTGGTGAACTTCCATTCTAAACCACAGCATTCAGGCCAGGCCTGTTAGTAGCCACTTCTTTTGTACTTTACATTCAGAAAGCCATTTTGGAATAACCAGTATGATTCAGGCTTTCCACCTTAGGAAACTAACTTCTGGCTTCCTTATTACTAAATCTTAAAAGGTTAACCAATTGCTTGGGACATTTTCAGTACTCACTAAATAAGTTTCTGAATGAATGAGTGAGTGTCCTTTACTGAGTTCGTTTTACATTTGTGTGAGTACATCTAAAAACTTTGATGGGATTGGCATAGAGAGAATAAGTGAATTAATCGAAATGTAGTAGATATGTGAGCTTTAGTGAGGTCACCAGTCTCACTGTAGAAGTGTTTTGGAGACCCACTCCTTTCAGGTACCACAAATTATGCACCCAATGTGCATACAGATGTCTCTTCCGAGATAAATATTTGACTATAGGAGCCTCAGAAAAGAAATGTCGCTAACCATTCAATTTCCTTAAAGGACCCATTCAGGACTTTTTTTTAATTGATTTTTTATTGAAATATAGTTGCTTTACAATGTTGTGCTGGTTTCTACTGTATGACCCAGTAATCCCACTCCTCTGTATATACCCAAAAAACATAATTCAAAAAGATACATGCACCCGAATGTTCATAGCAGCACTGTTTACAATAAACATCCATCAACAGAGGAATGGATAAAGAAAATGTGGTAAATGTATACAGTAGAATATGACTAAATCAGTTGTATTTGTCAGGAGTCTTCATAGATTGCTAGCATTGGCGTGGAAAAGCCCATTGGTAGGACAATGAAAAGCAAAGAGATGATGCTTCTGCATAGTGACATCACTATTTTAACAGGATGTGAAGCAGGATGATTCATGAGACAAATAATTCTCTACTGTATTCTGTGTGCATGTGTATGTATGTATTTGTGTGTGCAAGTTGAGGGTGTCAAGAGCACTGCTTTCAGAAAAGTTGCCTAGTCTACCCTTCTAAAGATTCCTCCTTACCTCAACTGAATATTGAAGGTCATTGTTTTAAATGAGAACACGTGAAATTAGCCATTTGTAGGATAATTCTGCTTTTGGTGTGCTTTCTCACTCGTGTATAAGAAACGGTAGTGATTTTTTGGTGGGGGTACAAGCATAAAGGTTACAGATATTTTGTAATTAGAGATGTCATATCATGTTTTGCTAAATTTATTGCAAAGCAGTGAGTTCCAACTGTTTTGTCAAACAAAACCCCTCTGCCTATACTGTCTAATATTTTGAAGACATATCTATATGATATCCAGGATTTTACCTCTAATTACCCATAAGCTCTGTATTGTGAGATGCTTTAGAG